ACATACTACTGGAGTCCTTGTTTAATGCAGCTTTGTTTGGTGTCCTGCAGACTTGTATTATGGTGGGGAGGCCTTGTTTAATGCAGCTTTGTTTGGTGTCCTGCAGACTTGTATTATGGTGGGGAGGCCTTCTCGGTGGAGCAGCCGCAGTCATTCACGTGTCCTTACTGTGGAAAAATGGGCTATACAGAAACATCTCTACAGGAACATGTCACATCTGAGCATGCAGAGACCTCCACAGAGGTGGTGAGTATCTCCTGCACCTCAGCACTTTACGGACTGTGTCACTCTGCCTGCATGATCTGTTCACAGCCCTCTTCTTATGGATTTTATTGCTCGCTCTTCTCCCCCTGGCAGATTTGTCCAATATGTGCTGCACTCCCAGGCGGGGACCCTAATCATGTGACGGATGACTTTGCCGCTCACCTCACACTTGAACACAGAGCACCCAGAGATCTGATATCCTTTGAAAACCTTTAAACTGTCGCTGGGACCCATTTGACCAGTACGCCCGCCTGCTATTCCAAACACTCGCTGCCTCTCTGTGCTGCATTGATTCCTTAATGTGAGCTCACGACGAATCGAGTGGTGTTCGGCATGTGAGGAGGATGTTCCATCCTGGGCGGGGGCTGGGAGGTCCTCGCGCCCGCAGGTCCAACATGCACTTTACAAGCAGCTCCACTGGGGGGCTCTCCTCTTCTCAGAGCGCTTCCTATTCTCCAAGCAACAGGGAAGCCATGGATCCCATAGCAGGTGGGTTCTGCTGTACCGGCTAGAAGCGGATGGTTCGCCATGGTCCCCTTACCGCTTCATGTCTGACCTGCACCAGCTGTCCTCTCTCTGCAGAGCTGTTGTCACAGCTGTCTGGTGTTCGGCGCTCCGCGGGGGGGCAGCTGAACTCGGGCCCGTCTGCGTCGCAGCTTCAGCAGTTGCAGATGCAGCTTCAGCTGGAGCGCCAGCAGGCCCAGGCGGCCCGGCAGCAGCTGGAAACGGCCCGCAATGCCTCTCGCCGCTCCAATGCAAGCAACATGAGCACCTCCATCCCCCAGCCCAGCGCCGCCTCTAATGCTGCACCTGACAGCAACCCCCCTTCCTCCCACAGCTCCCAGTTCCTCCTCACAAGGTGAGCTACATCTTCCAGTTCGTAGTCACTGGAGGTCCTCCGACCTTACAGGGAAATTTGGGGGTTGGTGGCAGGATTGGCACTCCAGCCACCAGAAAAACACTCACACTGGTCCATTTGGACTGGTGTGGTGCTGAGGTATCGCCCACCGCATGGCTGCACTCAGGTTCTCACCCCTGGGGTGGTTTGGCACTCTAATCAGTGCATGCTCCTTACCTTACTTGTCTCTTGCCTGTTTATTATAGTGTAGTACCAAGCTGCATTAATATCTGAAACGTTTTCTGTTTTTTTTTTTTTTTTTATCTTGATAAATTTATCTATTATACATGTTAGCCAGTTACTGGTGTTGACAGGCTGCAGGCTGGAAGTTAACTGGTACTGAAGGGCTCTTGCCCCCTTTCCTATAGCTCTTGGTTGTTTTCCATCGGTCGCTGACCAGGTTAATTTCCGTAAATAACAGCTCGGCGTGATGCCCCCCCTTCTTGTGACAGGTTGAATGAGCCAAAGATGTCGGAGGCCGAGCGGCAGATCGCGGAGAGCGAGCGTGCGGACCGCAGCCTGTTCGTGCAGGAGCTGCTGCTGTCCACGCTCATGTGTGAGGAGAGCAGCTCCTCCGACGAGGACGAGCGCAGAGATTTCGCCGACTTTGGGGCCATGGGCTGTGTAGATATTATGCCTTTAGATGTTGCTTTGGAAAACCTAAACCTGAAAGAGAGAAACACGGGGAAGGAGCCTCCGCCGCCTCCTCTTTGATGTCGTCCTTTCACGCAGACAATGTCCTCTGTGCTGTAACTGCCAATGAGAGTGGACAACACCTGTTTTTGGATTTGTTTTTCGGTGATTGTAATTACAGGCCTGTCACCCATGTTACATTGTGTACATTCATAAAAAACAAGAGAGCGCGTGAGAAGAAGAAATATATTAAATATATGAAAGCTGATAATCAGTTCCACATAACTAATTTTTACTTCAGAAGGTTAACAAAGGTCGCAGTGCTTCCGCTGCTTGTTTGAAAGGCTCTCCAGAAAATACTCCACATTCGACACTGCAGAGGACACAAACCCTTCTCTAAGAAGCTGCTGTGTGTATTTATGAATATTAATGAATAAAAAGTGCTTGGATGGTTTACCGTAACTACTGCATGATGTCATTTGCAGCGTGCATGAGTTTTAATGACACTGTCATTAAAATAGGAAAAAAAAAATCCCAAAGCTTTCTTTAAACATTTAAGGGTTACTTGAACAAGATTTCAAATCAAATATAGCAAAAACAAGAAACTGAGGGACTTGTATTTTAATGTTCTTTTGTGTTAAAACTATTATAGAAGCTGCAGTAGTTACTAAAACAGTGCAATGTCTGTCACAGCTTGACTGTCCCTCCTTCAGTGTGACATCACCGTGTGTGATTTGCCCATGTGGCCTCTTGTATCACCCAATTACAGTCGCAGGACTGCTTCCCAGGGTGTGACGGTGAATTTCAGAATGTGCAAAATGACAAGATGAAAACAACACTGAGATCCCATAAAAAGTATGTTGTTTGAGGAAAACCTGATCAACAGAAGAAAAAAATCTTGCTTCTAATATTTTTCTCATATATTGTGATGTTTAGTGGTCAGCTGTTCAAGCACCAGATGTAGATTCTCATTTATGCACTTGTACAGATGACCTGCTTGGTCCTGCTTATCATGTTCACTTTATTATTTTTTTTAATCTTTCTCCTTCCCTCTTTCCTTAGTTTGCCTTTTTCCAAAACCACAAGTTTTAGATCTTTTCATTTGTGGGTGAGGAGTAAGAGGCCTTGCAGCCACTATTTTTGTTCTTTTTAAAAAAGGCATTCTAATTTCCTCTGCTAAAAATAGCACCTTCTCCTTATTCCTTTTTTAAGCCTTGTGATGACTCATGCCACCTTCCTGCCTATACTCTTACCCTCTATGTAAAATACAATGAGATGTATATTGAATTTGTGCGTTAACTTTCGTAATGGTTCTAGGACATGGGCAAACTTTCATTTTTTTAATGTAAATTTAGAATACAACAATAAAACTTGCGCACAGCTTTTGATGAAAATTGAGTCACGTCCCTGTCCTACTCTGTTTTGGAATGTTAGGTTTAAGAATCAGATGTCATTCCACTCCAAAGCCCAGGTATTTGACTCTAAGTTCACACTCAATCTCATCTTTGACTTGGAAATTAAAAAGCTTGTTCACCCCTAAACTCTTCAGTTCCAAGCTTTGCCACGAATGGAAAATTATGCATTTCCCCCCCCCCCACAAAAAAAAGACTTTTCCGATGTGCTGTGAATAAAAGAGAGGTTGTGGCACTTGCAAGGGTTAAAATCTGAGGGATAGTTCATCATTCTGTGGGATGCTGCTTCACAATGGATCGTTGTGACATTTTGCATCGGTGGCAATAGAATGATCAAAAAATCTGACTTCACTGACAGTATATTTCTTTTCTGACCAAATATTTTGAATTGTATTAACAAATGCGACCATTAATGCTTTATTTTGGCTTGATTTGGTTTTGATAAATTTGGTCTGCAGATTTCATAATTTGTTTAATATTGTCGCCCATTTTAACACATCACAATGCCGCTGTTGTACAGTTCAATATACTATACCAGTTCCATAACATATAATATCTACATTGTACAACTAACAGATGAAAGGCAGAATCACTGACATTAAGCATTGTCATAGCCTATCTGAGCCACTAGAACAGCTTCAATGCACCTAGACATTAATTCTGCACGTGTCTGGAACTCTGGTAGTGACTGCATTCTTCCATGAGATCTTTGCTGTATATGGTGTGGAAAACCTATTCGGTTTGAGTTCTTGTACGTTGTCTATTTTCAAATTATTCATTCACCACGTGCCCCGTGGATGGAAATGAAATACCCGGAATATGTCTTTCCCACCGCCAGAGGATGAATGTGATCACCCACAATCCTTTTCTTCACCATGTACAGAAGGATAAGGTATTTGCTTACAAGCATACAATCTAAACATAGCGTCAAGATAAAAATACACAATAAATAAAGGAGGGAGATAGGGAATAGAAAATGAGCTATTAATAAATAACGTTTAGCCGTTTTACTTTTCCTTCTATAGAGTGGTGAGGCTTCACCCGGGGCAGGAAGATCAGAGTGAGCAGATGCAGTGTGCAGACCCCTCCAGTGCCAGGTGCTCGACTGGGGGGTTGCCACCCCCAAATAAATTTTGTGTCGTCACAGGTGATACAAAAAACTCTGGACCTCAAAAGGGTGGGCACTTTCAATTGTTCAAGCAAAAGCCTCCCCCCCATGTCTGAATCGAGGGGATTCAGCGCTATAGACATTGCATTCTTCATCAGAAAATCACTGCTAATAATATATGTGAATTTGTACACAAAGTTCATTTTATGCACTGCAACACTGGCATATAATGCCTGCATATTGTGGTCGAAGACAGTCAGCCATGTTTGGCTGTAGCTGTGGATGTGTCTCTTAGAGTCCATTGCAACAGCAATGTCAGTATTCCTGTTGAAATATCTTCATGTTGTGCAATATTTACCAAATATTTTTGACCATGGCCATAATCATAATGGGATTCACTGCTTCATTAACTGATAAGGCTCAACTGTGTGGAATAAGCTGTTTTCAATATGCTTTCTGTCCTTCATAAGTTTTCCTTTTATTTTGGTAGTTCATTGTATACCATGAACAAAAAAAGTGCCATGGATATGTATGTTCACAGATTCCACTGTTTATCAAAGACATTTACTGCTTTAAATCACAATGAAAACCAAACAAGCACAAACCATTGATTTGTCTTGATGGATTTCTGCATCCGAGGGCGCACACAGAATACAGTACATTTACAGCACATTGAAAGACAACACATTTATTGAAATGTACTGTATTGTAAGAGATTTTAGTTTTTTATTTAGATAAGCATCATTCGTGATGCACAGAAATTCTGGGCTAACCTGTAGCAAAGCCTGTCACACAGCACAAAGACACACTGTAAGACCCCGACTGAAAAACAAACATAGGAAATCCAAGGTTCACATACATTCAGGTTAATACCATTGTATAGTTACATTCATAAGAAGTGTTCTGTTTATGTATTCACAGTTTTTATTCAAAATATTAACAAAACCTTATTTTCATCAGTGCAAAGAACATTATTTCATCCCGCATAGTCACAATTATCAAAATTAGGCTTAGCAAGCAATGCTAACTGGATGTATCCTGTAAAGACAACTTTTCTTGTAACATGTAGCATTTGAAATTAATGCCGCGTTGACATCTGATTTGCAAGTTGGCTGTCAGTGTGCAAAGATGATGACATGCAGTATTAATGGTAAATCACCAAATATGCTGCATTAAGACTCAACAGCATAACATTGTACACTCCACTGCTTTTAATACTCAGCTGTAAAGTAGTGTGACTCCTGCATTAATACTGAATGGTGCAGAAGAGTACACATCTGCACTGTAAAGTTGTATGCTGTTGTATTACTTGTATAGGCTACTATACAATACAGTGATGTATTATTATAGTAATATGGTATTACACTTCAGAGTGACTGTGACTACTACAACTACTACTACATTTTATACAGTTTTTCACAAAAACCAGTCTTTTACAAAGTTAAAAAGACATAAAAATACGATAAAATAAAAGGGCCAGTAGGCTGTTTTCTGTACAAATGATGGTCAAAAATAAGATTATATTAATATATAAAGTATATTACAAAAATTAAATAAATGAATACATAAACTAAAAACCAGACAGAAAGTATTCAAACATAAAACAGCTTTGTAGGTTATATCATTTTTAACCTTCCAGGTGTTTTTCAAACAGGGCTTTTGTCAGCGATAAAGGCAGTAGGATAAGGCAGTGATTCTCAAGCTGCTCCTTGGGAATCACCAGACTCCACTTTTTTGCTTCCTCCGAGCTCCCTGCCAGACAGTCCACATTTCTGCTTCCTCCGAGCTCCCTGCCAGACAGTCCACATTTTTGCTCCTCAGCTCATCTGGGGATCTCCAAGAACCAGATTGGGAAACACTGGGATAAGGTACTCACTGATCAGACCCTTTTTGGGGGGGATGACTGGATTTAGCTGTGTTACTATTCCATCAGTAGTATAAACAGCTTTTAAAGTACAGTGCTGCATGGCTAGCTACTGTTGTAGCATACAATCCTGTGTTAGGTGTAAACTACTGCTCAATCTGCTAAAAAAAGACACAATTCAATCTCAGTAAAGCCTTCTTACTATGTATTTGCAGTAAATACAATATGAGATGCTATAGAGTAATACTGAAAATAGTTTCATATTTACACAAAGCCTCCATCTAACAAATGCTTATTTGGGAGATAATTGTGCTATAGCAAATGAAAGATCTACTCATTGCTTAGAGAAAATTCCTGGGTGTGAATGACATATTATTGTCCTGAGGGTCTGCACATAATCCCACCAACAGAAAGATACTATCAATGTGGCTGCTTCTCCTTCATTATTTTTAATATCCTTATTGCACAAATCAGAGTACAGAACCAATAATCTAGAAAAAAAGAAATGGTAAATATCCAGTAGTCATTCCTGCCTTCATTGGAGAAATGCACACTGAAAATACCTAAAATATCATTTTAAATCAATTTATATGTTACAGATGGAGCTGGTGGATACTGAGATTAATCAGTTCACAAGATTTTTCTCGTGGAGAAATTTCTTACTTCATATATATGTAATAAATATTTTAATTAAATTGCTGTTATCTAAATAACAGATTTTTACTCAAGACAATTTTTTCAGCCTACAACACTGTACAATGACATTTCCATATCCTTAGCATGAATCATGAACCATGATGCTGTACATAGATTTTATGGGTCATTTTATGTCGCTTTTGCACTCAAAATACTACTGGTTCTGGGTTATTAAATTATTTTCCATTATATTTTCAGGTAAAATAAACAATCACAGAAATATTTTATAGTTCTTTTGTTTGACTTTTTTCAGTCAAAAGTGTATGTGTACTTCCACTGTGCTTTGGGAACGAAATTGATTTTTAAATTGATTGTTTGTTTTTTCCCATTAGAAAATATTTTGTATATCTCAATAGGCAGAAGCAGGAATTAGATGAACAAACACAAACACATACATCCTGAACACATGCAAACATCTTTCTCCCACACAAACAGCCTTTCACCATCACACAAGGTGTCCCAGTGTCTCAGCCCAGGATGTCCAGGTAGACAGGTGAGGTTTTTGCCAAGTTAAGCAGTGAGTTGTGAATCTCCTTGATGTTAATCCTAAGGTGTGGTTCTCGCTGCCAGCAGCCTAGCATCAGGTCGTAAACCTCCTTGGAGCAGGTGCGAGGTCGCTGGAGGACCCGGCCTTGTGTGATGCATTCAATCACCTGTAAGGAGAGAGCAAAAGCTTTAGATCAGTGTTTCCCAACCCGGTCCTTGGGGACCTCCAGTCCACGTTTTTGCTCCCTCCTAAGAAGCAAAAATGTGGACTGTCTGGCAGGGAGTTGGGTCGGAGCAAGAACAGGGACTACCTGGGGGTCCCTGGGGTCAGGGTTGGGAAACCCTGCTTTAGATGGGAAAGAGAAGTCACAGGTTATGAAGTACCAGTCCTTTTTAGGTGCTTAGACCCCATACATGGACAAAAACAACAGTTTCTGACAGTCAAAGCCTGGGCTTTTAATTGGGTAGTTCAATGATACCTAATGCAAGGGGACAGAAAAGTGATTCTTGTTATTAATAAAAGTGAATAAAAGGAATTTTGTTTATAATTTGTTAAAAAAACTTTCTAGTTATACTTTAGTCATTACAGGATTCAGGACTGATATATCTCAAGATCACAGTATGTTTTCTATCCTGTAAGGATCCTAGAAAAACCTTCAGCAAAAAGATAATACAGTATAAAAATAAGACAACTTCAACCCAAAAACCTGCAGGATATCTTACTGGATATAATATGTACTAATCAGCCGACCATCACTCAGACAAACATCTAGAAAATGTTTAAGACAAGGTTGGCCAATCTTATGCACAAAGGACCATTGTGTGTGCAGGTTTTTGGGATAATCTTTAGGTCAGCTGTTCAAATCCAGGTGTGAGGACTCTTTCATTAATCAGTCGTCTACTAATCTAATTAGGGAGGTGCAGCTATGATCAGCGTGCACAATGGTGCTTTCTGGATAAGACCGGCCACCCCTGGTTTAAGACAGACAAATTTATTATTATTCAAACAGTCAAATTTTATTTAGCATATCATCTTTTCATTTAGACTTTCCCTTTCCTATTGGGTGTCCCACAGAGATTACTGCTAGCACTGGGATCGTAATTCTCCCTTTCCTATTGGGTGTCCCGCAGAGATTACTGCTAGCACTGGGATCGTAATTCTCCCTTTCCTATTGGGTGTCCCGCAGAGATTA